TTTTGAACTGCCACCATGTGGTTCCCTCTTACAAGTCTTTCAACTTTCATTTTTATCAATTCCTGATTTTCCCAACACATTTAGCATTGAAAGCTCTACCGTGTCCTTTGTTGTGCAAGGTCATTGCTTTTACCAACACTGTTTTACAGTGGATTTGATTTATTTTTTCATCGACAGATCCAGCTTCAATCACGTGCCGTATTTTCTGTGTTATCAGGTCAACTTTGAGTTATTTAATAGGAACAGTTTGCTGGAATCTCAGTGATAATGTTTTGTGGAAACCCTGTGGAATTTGGCCGGAATAGGATCATTACATGGAGGTGTTTGACATTTGTTGGTAAAACTAATCAAGTAAATTTTCGGAGTGATTGCTGTTCATGGTTACATTTTGGTCAGCTGTATGGGGCATCAGTTGGATATCTTTAGTGTGTAACCACAAATTTTCAATACCTGATTTCAATATAACTTCTAAAATAGAAGGGGAATGGGAGGAAGGGAATTTCTTAATCTTGAAAGGATGGGCCCTGGCAAAGAGTTTTTTTTTTTCTATTTAAAAAAAGTGACATTCCTGGTTTAAGGGAATCTTGCAAGCTTGACCATTTTAGGAGCATATACTATGTTCATAGTATATATATAATATATTGTATATTGTATATAATATATATATGTATATACATAATATATATTATATATATACACATAATATATATATATAATATAAATACTATCAAGAATTTATCGACTTCTTTTAGTTCTATATTGTGTAGTGATATTTTCATTGGTTTACCATAGTATTAGATTCCTTGGTGACCTATTAATTCAAATTTGAGGTTAAGACAGCCTTTTTAAAAATAAAAAAAATAGTAAGTTGAAAGCGTCAGGAAAAGTCAGTGGGCTAAAAAGAAGTAACATTTTTAAAGGCTAGAAGTCCCTACTTGAGTGTCAGCATTTAATGTTAGTTCCTTCCTTCAAGTGTCTGTGTCACACAGCACAGAAAAAAGACAGTCAAAGGACTCCATGGGCACTTTTATAAGGTCATTCCAACATAGAGGTGCTGAAAAATGGTTTTAAATCAAAACAAAATCTTTGCTGTCTTCTCAAGAGCTTGAAAGGCAGCCAGGGATATTTCAGCAAAGCAGCATGTCACTGTATTAACACCAGACAAATAATTGTGTTGATTGCAACAGGGAACTCTGTGTAAGGTGTGTTCCAGAGACCAACTCTTTTCCAACAGGGTTGTTAGACACCTTGAAAGTTGATTCACTTTTATTTTTCTGGGAATAAACTAATTTCTATAATTTTTTGCTGGATATTCTACTGTATAAAATTACTTCCTCCTCTGTTGCTGATGTAAACTTTGTGCAAGATCTTTGGGCTGTCACAGCTGCTCACAAAAATAGTGACCATTGCTGGGAGCTGTGTTTCTGTCTGCTTCCCTACAAATAGGCTTGTTTCATGGATTGTAGGACAAGACTGGAAAGCAGATCAGCTAAAGGGGGTTGCAGAAGACATGTGATCAAATTGCAGCTTGGCATTACTGTAAAGTGCAACAACTTGCCTGTGTCCCAAACAAAGGATGAGGTACATCTGCACTGCCTGTTTTTTGAGGAAAAAGAAAGAAGAAATGCTGCAGCTGGCAGAAATTTGCTTTTGGGGAGAGAATATCCAAGTGCTAGCTCTTGTCCTGGGATAAGCCCTCCTGCTTATTGAGAACAATTGAGAGCTTCCTGCTAATTTTGGGGGGCTTATGTTCAGAGCAGCTATAGTGCAGTTGACAACAATGAAAAACATTTGAGCCTTCTGCATGCACCTGACTTATGTTTTCTGATTATTTTATCACCACTGTAGATACTGCATTTTTTATTTAGGTCTTGCCAATTTTAGGCTTCTTCAACTTGGTCCCAGTTGTCATGGGTAGAACACTGATGTCAGTGTGGTTCTTAGCCTGAGTAGGAACTGCTTCAAAAACCTCTTGGGTGTGGCTTTTTCCACATTGTCCAACCAAATTTCTCCCTTTCAGAAGGCCAGCTGACCCTATAATCTCACTCCTGCTAACCAGCAGCGCAGCTGGCCATCCTGGATCCCTTCCTTGTTTCCAACCACGCTCTGTCAGTCAGTCCATACAGCTCTTCTGCTGATTACATCATATTTAGCTGCAGAGGTGCACAACAACGCTCTTTCCCTTAAAATGGGAGCGCTTTATTTTACAGAGAGGAAGCAGGATGATTTCCTGCGTGAGACTGGCTGAGGATTAATGGGTCTGTCAAGATCTGGAATCGGCGGCTTAGCAGGGCTGACACATGAAAGGACTGCAGTGCTGTGTGTGAACCACCTTCAGGCTTAAAACTATTTCTGTAGTTCAGTCCCAGAGAGCTGAATGAACATGAACTCAGCATTCAATTACTTCCTCACAGCCCCAGTAGAGATCCATTTACATGCCAGGAGAAACCATTGCTGAGCAAGGACACGATGCTGCTCTCGCTGGGACCCCATAAGCAGGATAGCTGTCTTCCAAATCCTGCATGTTTTCTCTTTAGTAGGCCAGAAGCAGACCCAAGGGGATTTTCAGGGTGAAAAGACAAAGGGTAAAGCAGAATGGATATTGCTAAGTTTTTACTTTCAAGGACTAGTGTCTTGGGGGTAAAATCTTTTCTTAGTCTCTATATCCTATTTACCTGTCCTTGGATGGAAGAGAAAAAAAATCCCAAGAAAATGATCTACAGATGCATAATAGCTTTTTCTTTTCTGCAATGACTCTGTATCTTTCAGTTTACCCATTGAAGGAAAAGCTGTAGACTGCCTTTGTAGCATTGGAAGAGATGAATAATGTCTATGTCATGCTTTTGGCTGTAGCATATAGTGAGCAGAGGTAGTGGTAGTTCATTGTGCAGCTGTAACGCTTTGGTAAGCTGCAGGAAAGAGAGAGGTATCCTGCTTCTGAATTTTGCTCTATAAATGCTATATCTCTGACTTCTCCAGTACGGCAAACTGAAGCAAAAGTCTTTCAGTGAATAGGAATCTTCTATATATTATGAATGTTTAATGGCATTTCATTTAAGCAGCCTCCTTCCTCCGATTCTTTTGCTTGATTCATTCCCTTTTGTGCATCATTCCTTGGCTTCCCTGTCTGTATGAAAGCTCAGGCAGTTTGTCTTTTTTGGGAGACTTGCCAGGGAAAATCTATGAGCCAGTGGTTTGTACAGTGCGACTCCAGTGTGGGTATCTCTTTCCCAGTGGCACTGCAAGACTGAAGAACACCGGCACAGTGAAACCTACCCAGCCTGTTCCTTCCAGTCTGGGATGTGATTTACCTTGTCAGCCCCACAGGTTCCACCCCATCTTTTGGCTGCAGATACCTCCTATGGCTTTCAGCTGGAATTAGCATACAACAGGACCTCAAAAATTTGTCGGTAATCATTTTCCCATGAACATTTTAAATGAAACCGCAGTCCAGCTTGTAAAAGTTTCTGTTTCCCTGAGATGGGCTATTGAGCCTGAAAGGTACTGCTTTGGATCTGTTTCTGACTATCCTTTCACCCTGAATTTTACTTGTATTTCTCCCTGCGGTGCTGACAGGATAATAATATTGTAACATTGTCACATCTGGTTAGGGAGAGGGGAAGGAGGAGGAGGAAATGAGGAACTCTCTCCTGAACTAACCTAAGCACTATTCTATAAACAAATGAACACAGGAAACTCTGGTGAGTGGGCCACAGCCTCCCACAGCTGCAGAGGGATGTGTCTTGCCTTTTTCTGTGCACCCAGTGCTCTCATTAACTTCAGTGAACCCCAGAGACCCTGACATATGAAGATTTAGAAAGTCGGTGCTAATGCAACCTTTCATCTACTGTCTTTTTTCCCTCCAAAGTCAGTGGGGGGACTTGGATGTTCAAGAACATCTGTTCATTTCTAAACATTGGGGTATTTACCTTTTCTAATATCTCAGGTTGCTCATTTGTACCCCAGCAGGTTCCTAGGAGCTCACTAGATGACCTCTGGGGCTTGGATTCTAGGCCTAAAATAAGCAAGATGGAACAGCAATTTTTAATTTTTATTTTGCTTAAATAAAAAAAATAAATATCTGTGAGCAATGATTAAATTATTGAGACTTATCACTAATTATTATTTTCCACATGCTAAATCCACTTTGAAAATAACACAGAAGTTTACAAACTACCAAAGCAAAGCCTCAGGTTTTGTGGTAATTGCCCAGGCATTGTAAATGGGATACCCTTTACTTGCAATGCTGCAAAAGAAGCATCAGAGTGAAAAACTTTTATCTTCCTGACAACAAAAAGAATAAGCAGAAAGTATCATAACCCTTTTCCCCACTCTTTCCCATGTTAGGACTCAAAATCTATTGCCTGCTTCTATGACCTTTTTGCTCTGCAGTTGGGTAAGACTCTTCCATGAAGTGTAGTGTGATTCCAAGCCTATTTTCGGTCCCACTAATCTTGAAAATCCGGATTCATGACGCAGAGCCCAAGCTTGCTTGCCAGATCTGTGCTTTTGCTGGCAGTCCAAATTCAGTCCCTCTGAGCTCTGTTGCCAGGCTCCCTTTTAGTCAGGTACCAGTGCAGGCTGTGTAATGTTTGCAGCAAGACTCCCTATCTGAGAAGCGCTTCATCTTCTTGATAGATCTTTTTTTTTTGTGTGTGCACGTGTGTTCATATCAAGCATGAGTGCAGCAGACCTGCTTTTATTGTTTTTCCCCCTCTTCTTCACCCCCCAGCTCCTCTTCTGCTATGGTTGGAACCCCTTTATGGCAGCTCCTTTGTCTTTGCAGATGTAGTAGGGTTATGCAGTAAGACGAAATGCTTCTGTTGTCAGGGAGCCAGCCCAGCTGGGTAGGATCAGGTGTGAAAATGTGCTGCTTATGTCGTCCTCAGGCTGAAGAATTACATTCAGGTGTTACACACCAGTTTTGAATAAATAGGAGAGCATAGTGAGAAAGAACTGTAAAGTATCTGGTATTCACTCTTCTCTGTTTTCTGCTTCTTGAGTTTTTTTATTCTTCCCCCATGCTTTATTCTGTTGTGAGGCTGAATTGTATGCCTGAAGTCTGAGCAGGTGAAGAGGAGTCCTGAAGGTAGTGAGGGGATTTTCTCTTCTTTCAATATTTTTCTTCCCTTTTTTCCTAAGGACTTTTTCTGTAGCCCCAGAAGAGTGGGACTGTGGTGATAAGACACACAATCCTTACAAGTTGCTGTTGAATCTCTTCTGGGCAAGCCAAATACTTGGCTTGGGTGCCAGCTGAGTCCTGAGGAGTGGAGTTATGCTAGGCTGTCACTGGGAATTTAAAGGAGAGCATGAGGGGTAGTGTAAGAGAGCAAGGTTTCTGCGTGTGCCTACTGAAGAGTAATGAAGATCTAAGGAATCCAAAGAGCTATGAGCCCAAAGCTTTTCCAGAAGGATGGAAACATTCCTTCTCTGAACAGAAACCTGAAGATTTGTAGGGGGAATGACAGAGGCTGCTCCCACATTTCATTCTTTCAAATTGTTTTTTTTCCTCCATCTTCAGATTCTATTTATATATTTTTTTTTTTTTGCCTACTCAGATTCTTTCTGCCAGGGCATGAACTATGAATTATGTAGTTTAAAACAGCAACCAAACCAATATATCTATTCAAGAGATAAGGTTCTGTATACCAAGAGATTTTTGGAACATAGGGAGCCAGTTCAGACTTTAACATCAAGGAGGCTGAGACTCATCTGTACTCTTAGACACATTCCATACCTACTCCTAGGTGAAAGTACTGTGATAATAACATATCTATCTAACCATGTGGGCCTCCAGCTCTGGGCAAAGGAACCACTGTGACTTCTTTTGTCACCTGGAGAGGTGAGTTGTCTGCTGGATTCTTTGATTTAAGGATGTAATATTCCTTGTGAGGACCAGAGTTCTTAGGGCTTTAGATTGGAAAAAAAATATATGAAAATCAGGATAGTATTTCAAATGTTACTGTGTACTAGGCAAAGATTGTGATCCTGGCACAGAATCGTCACTGCAGAGCTATGGCTTCTTCAACCCCATTGCTAGTTAATAAACTTGGGATCATGGATACTTTTAAAGTCTTGGCCATTAAGGAGGCTTTTTACATGTAATACTGTGTAGCCACTAAAACTGGGGAGTAAATCATGAGTACTATTGGAAGTATGGTGTGTTGAGGCTACTTCACTGCCCTCACTTTCCTGTGGGGTGTGGGCTATTACCCTGACAACTTAAGTTAAAAGCTGTCAGATCCAGCCGTGTCCTCTGGCAACTGCAGTGGAAATTATGTGAACCACTAATTCAGTGGTGAGGTACAATTTCTGACAGCATAACAGAGAATCAGAATGTTTAAAATAGTTTTGGCTATGACTTTTGTATTTTGAATGTTTCTGGGGAAATCTTTTCTTTTAGGTTTGCTTTTTACCTGGGGGATTTTTTTTTACATGCTTAATTTATTTTAAAAGAAGTCTGAATGTGTAGGGTCTACTTTGCCTCCTTGCTGTTGGTGCAGTACTGATCCTGAATGCCAAGTGCAAAGACATTAAATATTATATTTGCTAAACAAAACTGACACATTCCTACTTTTACACAAGGAAGCAGCGGCACTTCCCATGCTCCTGAGAGTTTAAAATGATCCATTTTATTGAGCGAAATAATGACAGCACTAGCTGAGCAGAACAGTAATTATTATCTCTAGGAGACCCAGGAGAATGCTGTTTTAAAAGGAAAAATACTGTTTTTCATGTATTTCTTTAAATTCTGGTATCAGCAGTTCAAGATTTGTCAGGCGTAACTAAAAATAGAGATTGTAGCCAGATGTGTTTCAGGGGACAGATTGTGTGGAGGCCTCTTGGAGTCAATGGGGTGGGATAAAGCCCAGAATTTGTCTGTCCACTGGCTCCAGTGCACTGGGAAACCTGGCACAGCTCAGCATGTGCATGATGAAAATCAAGCAGAAGGGACTGTGTTTAACTTGTATTCAGGCTGTTTGAAGTGGGGGTAGGAAGCTGAGTTGACTCCATTTCCCCCCCTCCAGGATTTTTGTCAGCACAGGTGGTCTGACTGCTGCTTGCTCTTGGTCTGTCTGTATGACAGTGTAAGATGTGAAAGAAAAAGTTAAAAAAACTTGAGATGCTGCAAATTTCTTGGAGTGTGTACTGATTTACAATAGGAGGAAGGTGTGTAAGCTTTGATTAGAAGGACTAATCTTCAATATTTTGTGATGCTGACAAAGTAACAAGTGCAGACAAAATAGCAGCAACTATGAGAGTAGACAAGGCCAGTAATCTCTTTTCTTGTAACTGTAAACAAACAAAATAAAAAATATGAGCTGTGATGAGGTCAGACTTGAGTTCATCCTTTATCTAAGAGGCATTGCTGCATGTCCGAGGTTTTCTTCTTGCTGACTATGTTGTGAGCGTCCTCACAGAAGGTACTACAGAGCTGGCTGTGCAATCTTTCTCAATGCTGTTGGATCACAGACATATTTATTATATAAATAGATGCTAAATTTGGTATTTTTCTGGGAATATGAGGTCCCTTTAAGACCTTGTGTGAGTAGAATGTGGCATAATGAGTGAACTTCCACATTATTTTCTCAACCAAAAAGCCAAAAATGCCTAGAAAGTTATATTGGTCAGATCCTCAGCTTATGTAATGGGCCTCCTGAATGAGTTTTCCTAGAAAGGAATCTGTTCACTGTAAGTTCACTTGGCTTGGTATTAGCATGGCCTGTGTTACTCAGACATTCCTTCCTAAATTCAGCCAGTTGGCATTCTGCCCATTGCGGTTATTTTTGCCTTTTGTCCCTAAAGACTTTTCTGAGAGCCAAGGTCCAGGTGTATTCTTGGGTGTCAGCTGCATGTCAGATCTTAGGGCAGCATTAAATTCCAAACAGGACAAATGGAGTGCTGGCTGCTCCCTTCCCACTATAGAATATTCTACTTGATGACACAATTCCTTCATCCCCTAGATTTACACTTCATTAGAAACCCAAACCTGCTCCCAGGTTTTCAAGAGCTTGTTAGCTCTCAAAGCACCAAGAGTGCTGCCTAATTTGCAAGTGGGAAGGCTTGGGGAAGGCAGTATGACATGAAGTTTCTTTGATCCAGCTTTTCAAGTTGTCATGGTTTGATACTGGCCAAATGCCAGGTATCCATGAAAGTCATTCACTTACCCTCTCCTGCAACAGTTGGGCGAAGGAGGGGGAAGGAAAATTAACGAAGGGCTCATGAGTTGAGATAAGGACGGGGAGAAAAACACTCTAAGGGCAAAACTGGTTTAAATTCAAAGGTATAAAGTAAATTTGTTATGAACAGAGTCAGAGGAGGATAATGAGAAGTAAAAGAAGCCTTTAAAAAAACATTTTTTCCCCCAGCCCCTCCTTCTTTCCCACTGACAGTGCAGGGAGACAGGGAGTGGGGGTCTTGGTCAGTTCATCACTCAAGATCTTCCTCTGTTTCCTCGGGGAGAGGAGTCTTTTCTCTGCTATGCCATGGGGCTCCTCCCATGGGCAGTCTTCCCAAAACTGTTGTGGTGGGGGTCACTTCTCCATGGGGTACAGTCCTCTAAGGTTCTACTTTGGAAGGAAGGGCCTTCTCTCTCTCTCTCTATTTGGTTCTCCCACTGGACCACAGCTTTCTCTGGCATCTACTCACTCTGGTGTGAGCACTTTGCCCACGGGCTGTGAATGGATTTTTGCATCTGCCGTGGACTTCACGCATCACAAGGGGACAGTTGGTTTCACCATAATCCTCACCACAGCTTGCAGAGGAATCTCGGCTCCTACCTCAGCCCTCTCTTTCTTTTCCACCGACCTTGGTGCTGTCTTGCTGTTTTCCCTCACAAGTCCTCACTTCCTCCTCTTCTCTGACTGGAAGAGAAACTGCTGCTTGTACATCCATTGCCAACAAGTTCCACAAATTCAAAGATTTCCCATAGAGAGTTTTATCTCTATGGTTCCTTGCTGGGGAATTGCTTGTCATGCTTCCCCTGCTGGTCAGTCGGCCCTGCCACAATTGTGCAGGCAGTGGTGGACACTTTGGCACCAGAGCTATTTAACTCTTGTCAGGTGGGGTGCTGGGAAGGGGAAACCACTGCCCCAGCCCTTTTCACCCTCAGTGTGGCTGGCTAGGGGCAGCCAGGCAGGCAAGGCTCACTTACAAAGATGGTGGTGGCCACAGTGGCGCTTTGTGGCGTGCCACGCTGGGGATGGCCCCCAAAGGGCTGCACTTTGCCCGTCCTGGAAAAAAACTTGTGCGTGCTGTTTTGATTTTCTTCTTAAATATGTCATCACAGAGGTGTTACCAACCTTTCCAATTGGGTCTGCAACATGCGTGTCTTCAGAGCCATCAGAAATTGGCTCTGTCGGAAATGGTGGAAGCTTCTTCTCGCAGAAGCTACCTCTGTGGCCCCCCCGCCACCAAAAACCAGTGTGTGTCAAACCAACACACAAGTGAAGGTAAATAATGTGACCAGGACTTCAGGAGGAAAAATTAAAATAAGGAAAAATAAAGCATTGGCATAGAAATACAATTTTGGTAAATAGCAGTGGTGCTGATTTCTGGAAAAACAGAGTCAAGTCAGTATGGAAACAATTAATGCCGTCTGCTGTACCCATGAAACAGAAGTAAAGATAGCTGATGCTTCAGGATAAAGTTCTTCATCAATCACTGGTTTATTTTATTAGCATTCATAGTGCTGTGTGGTGTGATTACTTCTGATGTCTTGTGACAAGCATAATGAGAAATTTCAGGGCCAAACCCAGACCTGGCACTGGACCCACACACAGAGCTCTGAATTTGGACTCTAATGTAACACATATGAAGGCATAAACCTTTCCTGAAGGAACAGACTCCACCTCAACCCCTGGCCCTCACTGAGGTTATTGTCTACATTCAGATTTATTTGATAAAGCATTGCTGAAACTTTGTCTCCTCTTTTAGAAATTGCCCTACAAATGATATGTTGAAAAATGGAGGTTCCCATATTGTCTGGACTGCTCTTTATTGTGTGAACATCCTGGTTTTGCTAACTAAATGACCAAATGCTTTGTAGCCAGATGGTATTGATTCCTTACAGTTGTGTTCACATATCAGATGTAGATATTGTATTCCACTTCCCATTACATCTGAAAATGACTGGGTCTGATTGACAATATGGCATTCACATTGAGATGTTTGCTTTGTGAAAACTGACTGCTGCTCAGAATTATTTTGTATTATTAACTCCTTTACATTGCCCCCGCTGTTTGATCAGTTTGTTTCTCTTTGTTCTAAGCCATATGTGTTTTCAAAACTAATACTTACACACCTTTCAAGGCCTTTGATTGCTGTACAAAAGATGATGAATCTCTAGGGGATCTAGCTATGTCCTGGAGCATAAACCTAATGAGAAAAATAAGTTCAAAATACCAAAGTATGGTGTTCTGATATTCTATCTCCTAGCTTTCAAATTCAAATGAAAAAAGAAAAGGATTTGCTGTGATGAAGCATTAGCTGCATGAATAGCAAGTCTAACTCCAATATTCCCAAGAGACACTGTATTTAACAGTGCACTGCCATTGCTTCTGGATTTCTCATCAGTTCTTTGTACACTTTCTGTAGATGGTAAATACTCCGTTTTGTTTGTGAGTGGAGAAAGAATGTTGTTTTGAGGGCTTTTTTTGAGGTTTTTTTTAAGGTTCTCAAAAGCTTTTTGACTGCTGTCTCTGTGGAAGAATTAGGGGGAAGGAACAATTATTTATGAGTTGTGAATAATGCTGGATTTGCACAAGAGTGACTATAGCCCAGATTCTTTTGAACCTTGCCATAGCTATGATGTAGGGGATCACTTAAGGGTAGAAAAAGGAG